TTCTCCATGTTTATTTCCAAGTATTTATGGCTACATGAAACACTGTGATTTTCAATGCTTTCTCTGGGAGAGCCTGAGCTATCAGACTCTCTTGCAGCAGATGCTTGATCTTCAGGACCAGATGTGTCCTTTGTGTTCAGGCCTGGGCTACCATAATTGCTTACATATGGCTATGTTTTTTTTTATTAGATATTCATATCTAATTTTTTTCTCTGAAATGCACAAAGAAGGTTTTTTTATTAATTGCATGGAAAATCATAGCAATGAGACAGTTTCAAAACAGATTTATAAGACAGTTACATAATTAACACATTGTGTATTGTTGTCTTCATAACAGTTATTCATGGACATGGTGCTTGCCAGGCTGGCGCTTCTGCTGCTGAGCCACCTGTCCAGCCCATCTGAGACACATAGAAAGTAATGTCTATCAGCTCTACTTAACCTCTGCACTGCTATGTGGACATCTACAAGCTCCAGTGACTATTTTGTGTTATCATTAACTCACAAAGTTTCAACAGTGCCTGATTTAATAAAAACTTCTCAGTTGTAGCTTTGCATATGACTAGTGTAGATCTTGGCTCACAATGGTGAGTTACACAAGGTGACGTTCCCCAGAATTTTCCACAGCATTGGAGATGGTTTACAGTATTAGGATGAATTCAGGGCCCTCAACTCTGCGGGCTGACATGCAGGGTTCTTTTTTTTCTCTTTTTCTCCTCTATTGCAAACAAAATACAATACCCACATGTATAAAGCATAAACTACTTTTCTTCATGGAATCCTTCATCCAGAATTCCCTCGTGATAAGGTCACACTTGTTCTCCTGTCCTAAGTTAATCATTATGTAATATACATACTGTGCTTGGAGTTTTATGAATCATAATAATGTAAATTTGAAGTATTTTCACCTCAAAATTCTTATCATTACTGTATATGTAATAAATATTAATATAAAATAATACATGAGAAGATTATGTCTCCTGCCTAGGTGTCCCCAAAGGCTCATGCAGTCATAAGTGGGGATTAGGAGTGTGCATGCTGCCTGTCCTAGGTACCCTGGATGAGATGGAAGGGATAGAGAGAGCTGTGGCTGTCCTTTGTTGCTTTGCTACCTTCTGCTTCCATGAATTCCTTCTCCTCTGCAATGCTTGTAGACATGGCCACTGAAGCTGCCAGATAGCTAAGTGTTTGCTCCTTTAACTCTGGGTGTCTGTTATTACATCTCAGCAATGAGAGAAAATCCAAGGGGTGAGAGGAACTTTAGGGGCTCTGTGTATTAGCTACTGTTCTTGCATTGTTGAGACAAACTTAACTAAGACACAGAGTCTCTAGACTTCCTCTCACCCCTTGTATTGTCTTTTCCAGATAACATATGGTGGATACAAGAGTTCACTGAAGTAAGATTGTAGATAGTGATGGTTCAGAGCTGAACTTAGATGCCTTTCTTGGGACGAGGCATCCTCCCAGTGTGGTGGGTTATGCCTTTCAAAGCTCAGTTGCCAGCACTCATGGGTTTCCCATCCACGGCCTCTGTGATGCTGACAGGGTCAGGAAACAGAAGACTGCCAGGAGAAAGTGGAAAATAGCTTGCGGATTCCCAGGACTTTGTGTTTAAGTCACACAGGTAACCGTCTCAGTGGCCTTGGACACATTTATTATCTTACTACTCTTACTAGGATTGGAGCTCATTCAGCTACTGTTGTTTCTCTTCATAATTCATTCCACAATTGATATTGTTTATTTATTCCATAATTTATTCCCTTGCTGGAACATTTGTTCTGCTGCACCAGTGTTTTCCATGGATACTTGCCCTTCCAGGACTGTTTTCTTGGTGGGCTGGTAAGACTCTGAGCTCTTCTGCTGTCCTCATATGCTTGCTAATGGACAGAGAGAGGCACATAGGAGTGGTTTTCCTCAATAGGAAGATTGTCTTTACTCCACCTATGGTAAGGACGTGACCAACACTATTTCTCTCTGCCTCTCCAGGTGCTAAATATTGTGGGAAAGAAGAAAACGAATTGCTGATGAAGAGAACTGAAAAATATTAAGCATAGCTTTTGGATTTCATCAAAAAATGGATAAGAACTACTCAATTTAAAATCTGAAGAGAACACTGGAGTGATTTTTTTTGATCACTGATTTGAAAAAACCACCAAGAGTTCTTGACAGTTTTCACTCCAACAGTCCAGTTGTATTGCAAAAGTTCCAGCTCTTTGCCTCTGATTTTGTGAAACACCTGTGAAGACAAAGGCCAAATCTACAGAGCCAATAGAGGACATTTTGCTGATTATCTTATCTTAATTCCCATCCCAGAGAAGACCAAAGGCAGCAGAAGCTGAATGAAGACAGCATGGCCACTTGGGCACTGCCTCCCACATTGATGCCTTTGCAGAGATAGTAACATCGATGCCGTGTTTGCCTGAGGTGCTGAGCCCGAGTGTAACATGAGAACATTGTCAGACAGATGCACAGTAGACCTATGACCAGGAGAGCTGACAGATTTCTTCAGTCAGTGTCACCACAAAAACCAGGATAGAGTGAAGAGGAGACATTTGGTTTTGAAAACGTAAACAACATATGCATGTACAATGATACCTGGGTTCAGGAATTCAGCTGTTTCCCTGATTGTGGCCTCCAACTGAACTAGACAAGAACCAAGTCAAATTACCTTTTAAAAAAAATTCC